AGGGAAAGGTTCAAGGACCCATTGGCCGAGTTTGCAAAATAAATTCGCATATCAGGGAAAATCTCCATTGTGGAGAGGTTCAGTAACTTGTTTGCTTCATACGAAACAATCCAATGGGTGGAGTCTCGTGAAAATCTCGTACTTGTATGATTGGATTTGTTTACTCGAGTCTGGGCTGTTTGATTTGTGAGTACCGCCGAGATTGCACTGCCCCAAATAAAGTTTCGTGCCGCCAAAGGAAGAATTACGATCTGCGATATGTTTGTAGTGTACCTGCAAGAATGTGGAGTACATGTATCGTACTTTCTCTGTTGCTGTTTCAGTTGCCGTCATGTTGCTAAAGAAACGTTCAGTAGAGAGGTTCTGCAAAACGAAAATTCGAACGAAGTTTCGCGACAGTCCTTGTGAAAGTGTGTACGAATTTTTGCACGAACTTGGCATTCTGCACAGTTTGCGCGGGCCAAGTGCACGTACACCATGACCCGATCTCACGAAATTATTTCCTACGACAGTTCATTTCGCGTTCCCTGCAAGTTTCGCGTCCAAAGGTGCGAAAGTTCATGCGAAGTTTCGCACTTCATGATGTAGAGCGAAAGTTTGTACGCATTTTCGTTTTGCAGAACCTCTCTAGTGACTCATTTGTTTCATACGAGACGAGTCGGTGTGGCTTAGAATCTTTCGCTGAAGAAGAAATCTATTCGTCTGTCTATTAGAGAAGTAATTGTATTCACTGGTTATAAAATAGGTTAAGACAAACACACAGAATAAATACCATCGGTCCCTTGGTGTTCGTCCTAAAGAGGTTCGACTGGATATCATTCATACTCACCAAAAGACGTGTAACATTTTATTATTGTGGAGTGCCTTGTTTATCTCTCAGTACCTCCAACCATAGCCTTGCCCCTTTTATCCTCAGGATCAGTGTAGTTGTTGGAACTAGGTGTCGGACTCAGCAATGTATTTGTTTACATTTTAATACACGTTTATTGTTCCTCCTTTACTGTGTTGTTTTAGAAAATCGTGGACTAACAGTTTGAAGTCATTGAACTACTTCCAAAAGTTGTATCGACATCAACAGGATTACCATTTCAGTGCAATATGATGCAGGATGACCTTATCACGATAACCCATGATTCTAAACCATTATAAACAATCACCACCACCAGACCACTACTCACATGTTTCCTCGCAGAAGACCATGCATTATGCTAGTGCCATTTTCTGCAAGAAAAGGCTTGCACATCAATGCGTATAATACGGTATTGATATGATGTGAAGGCCATCATTTACATATTGATACAGTACACGTATATATAGGGCATTCCATTGATTGGTGACAGAAAAAACAAAAGAAATTATAGCAATAAAAACTGCTTTATGGCAGTTTTCTAAAAAAGGTTATTGTGTTCTAGTCCATGGACCCCGTCTAAAAAGTAAGAAATTAACGAAATGTGATAGCTGAAAATTAAAATTTCACACAAAACCTCACAATAATCACAACACTTGAAATGCTGCTTTCAACACCAGACTTGTACTGCACCAACAATTGGCAACATGCATGCATAGGAAAGAGGATCACGATGGGGAAAAGGTCTTCTTCATGTAGCTTTTCATTCTGTGTGTAATTATTGTGAGGTTTTGTGTGAAATTTTAATTTTCAGCTATCACATTTCGTTAATTTCTTACTTTTTAAACGGGGTCCATGGACTAGAACACAATAACCTTTTTTAGAAAACTGCCATAAAGCAGTTTTTATTGCTATAATGTAATCAGTTCTGAGCATCAGAACTGTAGCCCGCCCTTTGTCCGGGCGCGTGACGATAATTTCAGTGTTTTTGCGGAAGTCACGCAGGGCTTTCATGTGTTCCTGGCCTAAGGAAAACGATCGCTTGTCTGGAAGTTTGTCCGCATGCTCCTCAGCCTCAGCTCGGATCTTTGCAGCGCATATTGATTGTTGGGCCTCTGATATTGGCGTAAAGCGTAATAACTTTCGATAAAACAATTCGAACTCGGTCATGATAACTTCCTTTTTCTTTGATGATGGGGGAACGCCAAAATCAGTGCCACGGCAAAGGAGCTCCTTCTGTACAGTAGTCAATTCCAATGGGGTTAAGTTGATTATTGTTGTGTCGGGATCGATGTTAACTTGGCCGTAACGTTTCCTTCTGAGCCAGTTATATGTCTTGTCATGTTTGGTAATAAGTTTTATTCGTTGTTTCTGGTCGTTCTCAGAAAGGAGCATTGAGAAACGGAGGAAGTCATGAGATGACAAAAATGTACGTGCACGATCATACAAAGACCTAAACTGGGAACGAGACTTGCACACCGTGTCACCGGACCTGGCAATCTCATCCTTCATGAAAACGCGCTCAATGTTCAACGTGTGGTATGCCTTGGCTCGGTGAACACGCTTTTCTACACCGCTAGGACATACGCCATTGTCTAAACATCGTCTAAGAAAACCTACGTTAAGGGCGACACTACCGTAATGAAAACGTGCTTTCAGCGTTAGATTCAGAATATCTATCTGAGGCTGGGTGTATCTCGATTTAAAATATTTGAACAAACGGCGAGGAGACAACAATTTGATAACCGCAATCAGTAATACAAGCTGGATCGACATTTGAGTACACTGTATTCATGTATTGTAAAACTGTGGAGACAATGTGCAATAAAACGATGAAAAATGTAAAGAAATTGTGTAGAGAAAGAAAGGGATTCAAACAAGTTTTCGTACAACACTCATCAGGAATCACGCATCAATTAACACACACCACGTCACATACTTCCACCTTGCGCACAACAACAAAGACCGAAGCGAGGGCGACCTAGAAAACAACCATTAACCACACAGCCGTTGCCTACACAACCCGCGGATCCTGGCTCTCAGACTGTGCTTGCTCCGCCGTCGTTGGTGGCGGTGGTGGAGGAGAATGGGCGTGGTGGCTCATCGGGTCGGCTTGTGTCGCCGCCTTTGCTCCGGCCGTCGGTGGTTCCCTCGTCAGTGCCCCCGGCGGCTTTGGCTGAGGCGGTGCCGCTTGCGGTCCCGGTCCCACTGCCTCCTCCTGATCCTCCGCCATCGGTTCTTGCGGCGGTGGAGCTTGCCAGTGGCAGACCGCGAGCAACACTGACAGCTGCATTAACACTACAAATGCCGACTCAAAAAGACCCACCTTGCATATCAGTAACTCCCACACCAACACCAACAACGCAATCTACAGCAACCACAACTAATCCACCATCCAAGCCCATAATTGAAAGACCAAGACGATCAACAGCCAACTACAACAGAAGCTACGCACTCAGCGGACGAGGGCGAAAGGAGGGACGTGATAGCAGGGGGACGGCCGAGTTGAGTTCAATGGACCCGGTCAGGCGTGATGGACGAGACAGAGAGAGTACAGAGGAAGCGAAGGATGGAACGGACGGCGGAGGGAGCAGTGGGTCGGAGAGCAGTGATGGGAGTGATGGTGAGAGTGCCGGTGAGAGTGTTAGTGTTGTGCGTAGGTTTCGTGGTAGCAAGTCTTCAGTGTACAATCATCTGCTGGCTAGTCCTGATTGTTGCGGTGCGTATTCCGACTCTTCGTTCACTGTATTGTGCCGTGGTCGTCATGGTTATGGACTACAGTTAAAAGTGTTGGAAGCTATCTATCAGCGTCTGTACAAGCCTAATTTGTGTGTACAGAAAGATAGTATAATTGGGTTGAAATTGTTCAAGTAACGTGTCGTGTTTAGTGCGGCCAAGCTTGGCCGTTAATGTTCTAGGTGTAATGTACTGCTGTTATGTGTTATCACGTTGTCTTTCCTTCCTTTCTCCTTTGTTCATTTCTCGCTTTGATTGTTAAAATTCACACTTGTAAATTTCACTGTTGTTGCTCTTAGTGTTATTTCTCTAACTTAGATTTTCTATAACAGTTCAATTTTTGTTTCAGTGTCCTTTAGTACAACGACGATTCCTGATGAGTGTTGTACGAAAACTTGTTTGAATCCCTTTCTTTCTCTACACAATTTCTTTACATTTTTCATCGTTTTATTGCACATTGTCTCCACAGTTTTACAATACATGAATACAGTGTACTCAAATGTTGATCCAGCTTGTATTACTGATTGCGGTTATCAAATTGTTGTCTCCTCGCCGTTTGTTCAAATTATTATTATTAAGAAAGGTTTGCTCCCCACACCGGAGCTCGCGCTATTCCAAACCTTTCTTACAAATCATCGCCGAAGTCGCAACCACTATTTCGTATTATTATTATTATTATTATTATTATTATTATTATTATTATTATTATTATTATTATTATTATTATTATTATTATTATTATACTGGTACCCAAAGAAAAGTACCCAAAGAAGTTGAAGGTGACAAAAGTTCTAAAGGTGACAACGAAACGCACCAGCGGTCCGTGCTGCTGGGACATGCATACAGATGGCGCTAGACACACGCGTGAAGCAGACAATCTATAGTAATACTAATGATATAATAATAGAAAAAAGGACCAAGTACAAATTACACTACACTGTCCACTAACACCACCCGTTACTAAACAATCAGCTCATGCGATAACATTGCACGACACTGACCGACGGTACTGACGTTCTGGAACAGTTACTACAACTATTACTTGTAGTTCCTTGGTCCTTTTTCTTTTCTAAAGTATAAAAATAATCCTTGGCTCTCCATCCGAGTCGATCCACTGATGATAACGTTGCCACATACATGTATACAATCATGTATACAATCATGTATACAATCATGTATACAATCATGTACAATGACTTTTTGTAGGTCTACATCATGCATACAAGTGAGAGATTGATGCCTGATGCCGTGATGGCAATGATTCTCCCATACCGGTAGTGACGTGACAACGAGGTGAGACTCGTCGGAAGGCCAGACAGAGCGACACATGGGCATTCACTCACTGGCTGTACTGCCAAACAAATCACTGTACTGCATGCCCGCCCGTCGTGTGGGGTTCCTCCGCTGCCACTCTCCTGCCGTTGACGACAAAGTAACTACTTCCTACAGTGTAGTTGTTGTTGTTGTAGGCGCACAAGTAGCCAGTGGCAGTGGTTAATTATTTAGATTGTTGTGGAAGGGATGCTCAACGAAGGTCCGTGGAGCAACTTCCTGAGGCTCCGTCACGGAAAGCAGCTAGGCCGAACGAGGGAGTGTTTCGTGCCTGGAGCGTTCATGTCTGTTGTCGCTCGACGAGGGCGGAGGGCAGCCTGCAGCGCAAGTACGAAGAGGAAGAGGAAGCCTTCTCGTCAACATCTCAGTGGAAGTAGCAACATGGCGGAAAGCGTCGACAAATCATCCCAATCGATCACTCTGGAATCGAGGCGAGTCTCTCTGACTCAATCAGATGCATGCTGCCAGTTGCTGAGCTACAAAAGTAACGAAGTCTACCTCGGCAACAGTTTATCTCCGCGAGCCTGGTGGTGAGAAAGTTTGTGTCTTTCGGAGCAATCATGAAATTTTATTAATGCGATTAATAGTATAAGTGAAGTGGACATTACAAAATGATGAATGAGAATACATGTATCTAAAATGGTTGTTCCTAATCGATTTTCTTGAGACTATCATTAGGGAAAATCGTCTCACAATAGAGGCTATACGGAGAAACAAACTATTTATAGGTTATCGGATAGTGGGAAGTATACAAGGTGAGGTGTGAAAAAAACTAAAGTGGGAGAGAAGACGAAAGAAATTAGAAGAAAAGATGTGAGAGTGTTCTGACGGTGTGAGCTACTACAAAAGGTGAGTGAAATGAAGGCGTGGAAGCAGGTGAATGTGATAGAGTGAGGAACTGTGAGGTGTAGGTGTATGCGAATGAATACGTGTGTGAATGCTAGGTGAAGAGTCTCAGTTTTGTGACATTTTCTTTCTGAATGCATAGATTAGGATTGTGTTTACGGATGAAAACAGCTTCTAATACCTTAAGTTCACGAAACCTACGAGCACCTAATCTATGCATTCAGAAAGAAAATGTCACAAAACTGAGACTCTTCACCTAGCATGTCGCCTAATCATGAAATTGTGCGTGTGCTTTGAATGGCATACTGCAGAACAAATAATATTATTTTAAATTGCTTGTGCACATCGAAGAGGCGCACCTCATTGCTGGTATGACTGTTCTGGCACTGCTTGGAAGTGTTCTTTTCACTTCTGCGTCTACCTTAGCTGTGTTTACAGTGTGAGCACGTTGGCAATCTTCCTACTTCCCCACTTCACATGCTGGTGCCAATTTGTTTACTTTTAGGCTAGCAAACATTGCCACCCCCAGCTTCCAAGAAATGGGCCATAGGGCTTGAAAGTGATGACGTCAAAATGGCCAGGGAGTAGTAAGTTGACAATAGATTTCTATTTTTGGATCCACTAAGGTGTGACTTTGCTATTGCCTAAGTATGTGGGTGCATAGCAACCCACTCATGTCGCATGCAGGTGTGACTTTTATTTCGCCACCAGTTGTAACCCCGCCCCAGTAGCCAAATCAGTCAGTTTCACTGGCTACATCACCATGCTGTGGGTAAGACCGCTTGAAATGTGCTTGGATCCATACAAAAACTGGATCCAAGTGGATCCAGTTTTTGAATTTTTGAAATTGTTGCTATGCTGTGACGTAGCACTTTCAAGCCCTATTACGTGCCCTAACCCGAGTGTAAAAGATTCAGAACTATAGAACAGAAGTATAACGTTTCTGACTCTCATAATATCCTAGATATTTGAATCATTAGTCATGTTCTATGTTCCAGAGGTAAGGTACCGACCGGTATGCAAACACCTTTGGACAAAATTTACATTTTGTGACAAATCCTTTTTGGGATATGCTCGCATAAAATGAGCCATATTGTAGTGAACGTTGCATGGATCGGTCTAATACTACATTTTCCGAGAGTCCATACCCATAATTATCGATGAGAGTCTGTAAAAATAAAACTGGTTTTTTTGTCCCCGAAGGTCGATTTTCCCAGGCAACTGGCCACATCAAACTCACAACATGATCACATCAAAAGGCGATCCTCAGTTACTTGATGCTAAGTTTAAAGTGCTTGTCTATATCCTGTACTACTGTGCTTTCTGTGTTGTAGGTAAGGAACATTGAACACCTCCTTAGTTTGCACAAGATTCGGCACTCCATTATCGGCTCTCAATTCGCTTCTCAAAAGATTTCCGGCGGGCAGCGCAAACGTGTCAACATCGGAATGGAGTTGGTTGCTGAACCGAGTATTCTCTTCCTTGATGAGCCAACTAGCGGTCTGGATAGTGTAACCAGCGAGGAGGTATGTGGGCGGCGTGGAGAGCTTTACCTCTTCACATATTTGTAGAGACGTTAAACTACATGGATCACCTTTGTACTTGTTACTACTATGTTGTTACCTCACAAGTACTTGAAGTATATTGCATAGCTTTGGGAAAACACTACTCTTCCTCTACAGTGTGCGTATGTTCTTCTTTATAACTTTCTACAAACATTGAGTACTGACTGTAAGGCTGGTGGTGGTGATGTTCTCTATTATTTCTACAATCATTGAGTACTGACTGTAAGGCTGGTGGTGGTGATAAAAACTATCTGTTGTGTTCTGAACTCTGCAGGTTATCGAGCTGCTGAAGGTGATTGCACTTGCTGGTAAACTGACTATAGTAATGGTCATTCATCAGCCTCAGTATGACATCTTTCAACAATTTGATAACGTCATTCTGATGGAAGCAGGTGGACGAATTGCTTACCAAGGCCCCGTTCAAGAAGCAAAGGTCAGTAGCCAAACTCATGTGCATTGGTTAGGTGGGTAATGCCGAAAGAAAATATGCAGAATTTGGTACTTTTTCTGGTATGTTTCATGTTTCATGTTTGATATATGGATAAAGAAATGGAGCATAATTCAAGGAAGTGCCTGCCATGTTTTGGGGTTCTGTCCGTTTCTCTGCTTTCCGAGCAGAATCTGCCAATTTTTCAAGCGTTATCCGCCATGGGCCAGGGCACGTGCGTGCATGTTTGTGACTGGGGTAGAGGTAGGGTGCGGGTAGGCACTTCCCAAATCGGCCGGCCCAAAAATTCGCCGAAAAAAGTGGTTTCGAAGAAATCACCAATCTTTTCGCCGAATACGCCATTTTTCTGCTGATTTCGCCGAAAATCGATGTTTTGGTGCCTCACCAGAATGCAAATACAATTTCTGTAGCCATTATCTGCGAAAGGTGTGTGGGAGAATTAGACTGTTATTATTACATACCGAAGGTTTATACAATGAATAAGAACAAATGCAAAGGAGCCATCAAAACTACGCTCCTTTCCGCACAAAACAGCAAGAAACAACTAAGGAACAAAAGAGATCGCGTGCCTTGCGCACGCAGGCACGACAGGCTAAATCAGGTACAGCAGAAGAGAATACGTCATGATGTACAAGAATGCATAAGTACGACGTAAGAAGAGCCGCATGAAGTAGTACACTGTACACATCAAGGGGCATTTCCGGAAACGGTCAACAGGAAAAGAAATCAATGGCTGTCAAGAAATCGCCGATAATTGCGCCGAATTTACAAATTTCGCGCTGAATTCGCCGAAAATGGATGTTTTAGTGCCTCTACAGCATGCAAGTAAATGTACATCTATCCTGTGAGAGGTAACTTCATATGTACCGCTTTGAGCCGAATTCTGACTTTGGGGCTCATAATATAGCCGAATTTGGACATTCTCTTTGCCGATCGAAAAGCCGATTAGCTGAAAAAATCGGGCCGATTTGGGAAATGCGTAGGCGGGGGATAGACATATTTGGGCCATTGCAAGCCAGATAGTTTCTTCAAGGCTAAGTCGCATAGCTAATTTTCATGAAGACCTCATTTTCGTATCGATTTTAAAACTTGACTGCTCGTTCCACAAGAGCATGAAAACTATCCTGCGACAACTAACAATTCTTCTCGAAACTGGCCTCGAGGTTGAGCGCGAAAGTAAATGGTTGCTGGCAGCTTTGCACTAGTATACCAGCTCTATACATGTATGTAATTACAGTGAGTCATGTACAGTCATGATCATGCAGTCTAGACTGGAACTTGCTTGCTTGCTCTGCTCAACCCCTACAAGAGCTCCATGTATGATTTTTGCAAATACATCCTCCTATTAGGCCATGTAAAATATATTGATTGTTTATCGTCAGATTTTCCTGAGAAGCCGGGGCGGACGGGAGGTTTTTAATTTTATTTTTTATTATGCATGTATGGCTGTAGGGTAGGTGTTCGCAACCCCAGACATGCCTTTTCTTCGCTTTTCTTATTTATATATTTTAATGACTGCGAAAAGTTTCGTTTCGATATCGGCCAAAGTTTCTCGTCGGCCAATATTTGTTGATTTACAGTATAAGGAGATAAAAAGAAAAGAAGGAGCAAACCCAAAGTAGGTGATATTAGAGAGGTTCCGGGGTACGATTTTCCGTGCCAAAATCCGTGTGGGCGCTACGGATTTTTTCCAGGCGTGCTCCATACGATTTTTCGGCACGGAGAATCCGTGTGGACTGGCTTTCATACGAACCATGTTTCGTATGGAGATTTTGCGTCATCGGGTGCAGAAAGATTTTTCGCGTACAAATTTGGTACGAGAAACATCGAATTTCCGCGGGAAGTTTTGTTTTCGGTACAAATTTTCAAAATAAAAGGGCATAGCGCGGGAATGTGACGTGTTTGCGAGCGTAACCTAGGCAATTACGGCAAACACATAAGTTCAGTACTCCGGAACATTTCACTGCTCGAAAACGACGTATAAAAAATCCGTAGCGCCTCTACGGATTTTGGCACGAAAAATCGTACTCCGCAACCTCCCTATTAGAGAAATGACAATCCGCAATAAATTCTGCAAATACTTTTGCCTAACTCATAATATTCAAACTGATTGAAACGTTTTTGCAATACAATGATGTGGCCAACGGAAAAAAAACATTTCCATCAGTTCTTATAACATGTACGATGAGCTAGGCAAAAAAGCATAAAAGCATAGCGTAGGGCCCTGATCTGAGCTCCCAAGCTCTCTCGTTTGATGGCTTGCTTTTGCATCAGATGTTCTTTGATTCAATTGGATACGACAACTGCACTGGCCTGACCAATCCCGCCGACTACTACCTCAAATGCGTTGACACTTGTCTTGTGGAAAATGAGGAGACTCGCAAAGCCACCGGAGAGCAGAAAAAGACCGTCGCTGATTTGTGGGAGGAAGAGCGGAAACAAATGTCAAATGCACCTGAATCATTCCCAGAAGAGAAGTTTCGGCCGGTTGTACGACCAACCATGATCATGCAATTCCTCTACATGCTCAGGCGTTTCATGCTGATAGCGGTAAGCGCGCAGTTTTGGGTGAATGTTTGAATTTTCTTACAAAATTTGGGACTTTCCAGTACTCGTATTCTTTGAATTTTGCATTCAAATTTTCAGAGAAAAATCGCAGGATGTGGACAGGCCTAGACAGCACCCATAGTGGAGTTGCACACTCTAGTCTAGCCTGGTCTAGAGGGTAGTGTACTCTTAACGCTGGTCCATGAGGCCTCATAACCATGATCGAAACCATCACGGGATGGGTGACTGTGACTTTAAATTTGACAATATGGATGATGGTTCTTTATGTCCTAGGATGAGTCAACTATCAGCAGTACCTTGTCGACAAATTTCATCCCGGGATAAAATCCAGCTACCATATCATGTCTGTTCAATTGCTAATTTTCTTAGTCTCCCGACAACTAGCTATTTTGATCATCACGGTCTAATGAATGACCGTCATTGATAGCATTGCTAAATCGACTCAAAGCATCAAAACAAGAGTGCTCTAGCTGCGATAAACGCAGTGAGCTTTGCACCAGGACAGATGACTTTGACACTAGCCAGAAAAGGTTGCTCAACCAAGCCCAGGTAAAGGAGCATAATACTCATTCTCAGCTTCAAATTATTTGCCCATGCGGCACCCCGCATACTGAGCCACAGCCAAGCACAATGACTACATACATGCGGTGTGTGCAGGCCTGCTGGACAAGACTTCTTGCCATAATCAGATACAATCAGATAATAGTACAAGCTCAGCAGTAATCGCACTCATTAAACCTAGAACTAAAACAGCCGCGAAGAAAAAAAAGAAATAAAAAAATAACAATCAGCAGCACGTAACCCGGTGTCAGGCTAGAGTACTAGTAACTGAATTCCACAGTCGGAAGAAGAAACTACAGTTGTGTACGGAAAAGGCTGGTCTTATCTGCGTTGAGCAGCATGCGGCTGATAGAGGATGGCTCGAATCGAGGTAAACAGAGTATAATAATGTGGGTGGGTGGTGTTGCCCCGTAGGCGACTTTGGCGACAAGCAACACCCGTCGTATGCAACATACTTTGTATTCACTGCTACACTTTCTGTAGTCTGGGCTTCATGTATGACTATCACTGCCATTGATGTATTGACTTTCAGTTGGCTCCAGTTACAACTGCCGGTACACATGGTACATGAACTGTCTGACCCCTTTCATGCATTCATATGCAGCTGTCACCTAACACCGGCACCGCTTTTGTCATCTACTACTGTAGTATGTATCATTTGCCGCTACGCCAGGATCGGGATTGTAGGCTGTGATCCGTAGGCGTAGATCGGTGTTTTGTTTTCCTTGGTGTTAGTTTTAGGTTCCTGCTTCCGTGGTGCAGGTTATCGTACTTGTTTTAGTTGAGTTAGCTTTTGGCATGAGAATGAAAGAGTAATAATACGGTCTTCGTATAGTACAGTAACGACGTTACGTTGGTGGAATGGTGAATCAAGACGAGAGGTAGAAACAGGTGGGGTGGGGTGTCTGCACACTTGGCAAGAAGAAAAACAATGAACGGCAAATCTGTGCAGACACACTTTTTCGCAGCAACCAAAGCCCTCATACCCATTCAGCACATGCAAATAATTTTGCAGAGAACGAAATTTCTCGTTTCTTTCCCTTCGCTCAGCCAACGAGAAATAAGCTTTTCTCAGCTTCAAATTATTTGCCCATGCATCAACCCGCATACTGAGCCACAACCAAGCACAATAACTACATGTACATACATGCGGTGTGTGCAGGCCTGCTGGACAAGCTGCACAAAGCATAGCAAAGATGGGCACTGCTTGACACGGCAGTAGTGGCAGGATATTTTAGTCCTGCAAAACTAACTTCAACCAGCTGACAGCGCACTTCAGTGATGCCCGACTGATATCACTGCAGTGTAGATTCCCGGCCATTACGCCATCCTCACCACTGCCCCCAGCGGTAGCCACAACCCAACACCTGGTGTCTCCTACTTCGGCTCCAGGAGCCTATACATGCAGCAGCCTCTGACCGACACTCGGTGCCTGATACCTCAAACCAGGATCCAGGCTCCCAAACCAGCCGCAGCAGCCACTCGACACCTGGTGTCTAATACCTCAGATCGGGGATCCCGAACCAACATAGCACCCGGTACTACCTACAGGACATAACCACTCACAAACGTACACACAACATGCACCCACAAACAAAGCTCCGCAGTAAATGCTCCTAATATGAACTCTCGTCTGGCTCATTCTTTTAAAATCAATTTTTCAATTTGATCGACATACGCGCCGTACAATAGAAATAACAATAATACTCCTCTTTGCCAAAGCCGTTCCGACAGTATATCACGTGTAGGATCTCAAACAGCAATTGACACATGATAATACACTACATCAAGGCATTTGAGCAGCCTTACGAAACAGACTCGGCTCAGTGAATCAATGCTGCATGGTTTGATGGCCTATTTGCCTAGTGGTATTCATACGTTGTTGCGGGAAGCTCCTGACGTAGTGACCTGCCTGCCCACATCGATGGCCAATGTCTGCTCTAGGATTGTAGGACAGCCGGGTACACGTGTACCTGGCGCAACCATTTCAACCGGGTCGAAGCCGGGCACACATGTACCTGGCGCTGTCTCACTAGCCGAGTCACATGCTTTTAAACCTGGTTGGTTGGTTTATCTTAATTCGGGCAATAAACAGGAACTAGGCCCAATGATATTAAGGCGAATGGATAAGCCGCATTTAGAAAAGAGAGGACAAGAATTAGAAAATTACGAAAGAAGAAGCATCTGACACATACAAGCCATGTAGTCAGTCCTTTCAAAGTTCGAAAGTGTAAAGGACCAACCGGGTCACAGGTGACCCGGTACTATATTTTCAACCGGGTCTAAGCGCCGCCCAACCGGGTGGATTACCCGGCTCACCCGACGCTGGAGCAGACACTGATCGATGGCAAACCCCAGCGCGTAGATTACCCTGCATAGGTTGTATGGGCATGGGTGACTGCCTAAGCGGCAAACCGGCTCCCTGTGTTATGGGGATATCCATGCTTTGCATGCTTGCCCCCTGCACGGCTCCGGCTGCTTTCTTTTTTGCTCCCTCGGCCTGGATAGCCGCTTGGAGACGTTTCTGCTTTTTTCAGTCCCCAACCACAGCCATAATTTGGCTCCCGTCTTGATAAGCTGTTGCCACCTGGTGGCCATGATTCTCTGCTATCAGCAGCCATTCCTGCCTCTTCTTCAATAGCCTCTCATCTTTCTTTGCAACTTTCCTTCTCCTTGTCTTCGATTTTGATTTCTGGGCTTGGAGCAGATCCAGCAGGTCTGTATTCAGCACGAACTGCTTCGCGTAGCTCTTTGTCTCCCAGCCTGAGACACCGGGTTTTCTTCTGCACTTCGGGGATCTAGAACTGCTAGAATCCGTGGAGGAGGAGGACGATGACCGTGACGAAGACAATGACGATTTAGAGTCTGAAGAATCTCTTCTCTTCCTCTTCAGTGATCTGCCTCTTTCCGTCAGCTTTGCTTACGCTGCGCTCTAGCATCCTTAACTTCATCCCCAGCAGGTCCCTCTCTGCTTTGAGCTGGGAACGTGGCATCCGGGATGAAGGCGCTTCTTCATTCTGCCTCTCCGGGGCAGTTTCGTATTCGGACGATGACGTATTTATCTTGTCCGAATCGGGAAAATCGAAGGCGGACACATCACGAGCACCTCCTTTCCCCCCTCGACCTCTAGCTTTTCCTCTGCCTCTACCAGAAGGACCAGCGCTTGCACCACGACAACTCGTGACGATGTTTTGAGAGGAAAAAACTCAGACAACGAAAACTAAGTATCTGCACACTTGGCAAGAAGAGAAACAACGAACTGAGCAAATCTGTGCAGACACACTTTTTCCTAGCAACCAAAGCCCTCATACCCATTCAGCGCATGCAAATTATTTTGCAGAGAAAAATTTCTCTTTTCTTTCGCTTCACTCAGCCAACGAGAAATAAGCATATCTCCGGACAGCTAGCCGTTTCGATCTTGTTAGATCTCGTCAGCGGAGCTCAGAGTTACTGGCCGAACCCATCGCAATGAAGTCTAATGAAGTCTAATGAATGCGGACAAACATTGTTTAAACCGACTCAAAGCATCCAAGTCAGAGTGCTCTAACTGCTATCAACACAGCACACTTTGCACGATTGCTTATAATACAAGTCAGAGTGCTCTAACTGCTATCAACACAGCACACTTTGCACGATTGCTTATAATAAATCCATGTGTAGCCAAATTGGAGTTCGGAATGAGGCTTCCTGCAGCTCCATTGTAATGCAATTGGGTAGATGGCAGCACTAGACAACACTCCTCAGGCACGCTGCAATTTCACACGGTCAATGAGAAGTTGTGGCTCAGCATTTCGATGCGTCTGGTGACCATCTTCAGATCCGATGAAGTAAGCCAGGCAGACTGTATAAAAATAACAAATTGGATAGGTGGGTGTGGGGAAACTGCTGCTAAAAACACAACGCATTTTGCGCACGGATTGAAGAATTGCTTTGTAAGCATTTTCATCCCGGGATCAAATTCACATCAAAACTTTCATTTTCACCAAAGAAATTATATGTACAGTAAACCAGGCTTGGGAGATTTTTCGCTGGTAGTACAGACGAGAATTTTTGGTCTGTGAAGCTGACCAAAGCTTGTTGGGATCTGCTCAAATCATTCGTTACTTACATCGTATCTGCTGGGTCCAAAGTATGAACAAGTAATAGTGCAACAGGCCTGGAGGAGAAATGCTATAATGATGACTTACCGGTAATTAAGACTACGTTTTGGCGATACTAAAGACAGACAATATTTGCATGCACACGAAGAAGATTGAAAAGGTTGAACAAGGCTAACACTAAGCCTTTTCTGTGCGAGTTTCGTACGAATTATTGAATTTCAAAATTTCTTTCGCAATCGTGTCTACTGTCTCTCTTTTCCACCATGCCTCTGTACTTATCCTTCTGATCAACAAGACGCTAACTTTGTTCGTCTGGGGTGTGCTATACTGTCGACTGGCCCAGGACAGAAGTTGACTCCATTCTCACATTCCATGTCCTGTGTGTACTTGCAAAATATAATAAAATATGGCTACACAAATGATGCACATGTACATCCGCACAAACAATAAGAGGACAGAGAAAGTGTTTTACATCTGAGTTTCACGCACTATTGTGGTGGCAGACTACCCAAAAATTCGCTGAAAATCGAATTTGTAAATTCATATTAAGGACGTTTAGCAACGCGAAAGTTCGAAAGAAAATTCGAGTCTGGGAATGAGTACAGAAACAAAGGTCGAAACTTCGAAAACTTGGACGCGAAGTTGCAGTGATTTGCGAAAGTAACTTTCTCTTTTCTCGGTACGCATTTCACTACAGGGAGTAGTAATTTTACAGCCCCCTGCTTGAGACTGAGCTGCATATACGGTACGGTACTATAAGATTCAAATAGCTTCGAGAAAAAGTCGTTTCGCATTGCTAAACCTCACAAGTTTTCTTTTTCGAAATAGATTTTCGCGAAATATCGCCACCACCAAAAGTTCGAATTTTCGCATTGCTAAACGTCCCTATTGAGTGCTACGTCAGTTGACAGAGCATGAATAGCTGCAAATTCTCTGAAAATTGTGTCCCGATCTGACCAGCCGTTCAAGAGTTATGGCCGAAAATGTGCCCTTGCAAGGAAAGATTTTTTTGTTGCATGCTGTCATTTGTTGGCAGCACTGTATTTGAATGTGAGCAGACCTTGCGCAACTTGTCGTATCATAGAAACACGCGAAAGTGTGCAGAATTTTGCTCCAAGTCCAAAAAAGTCCAAAAAATCACGTTAAAAAACCAAGTATTGGGCTGCAGGACTTTTGCCAGCACCCTCGTGACGTTGCAGATATGTGGCTTGATTATTGTAGTTGACGTTGATTTAGTGACTTTGGCAAGTTTGAGTCGTGTCAAGAAGTCAGGTAGGATTCAGTACTAGGCAGTAGTGGAATGTGAGTGGTAGTCTTTGCCGGTTTCTGAGGGTATCCTGGATTTAGTGTGCAGCGCTTTGGAAATGGCTTGCTGTGGACGTCCCAACACTGGATGTTGTATCAAAGGTACGACCTCGTAGCACGTGCTAAACCTAAAAAAATCGAAAAAATGACTTGGGTCTGTGGGAGTCTGTGAGAGAATGCCCACTCGTTCTGTTGTGACAGATTCCAGGGCCACGTTGAGGGGCCCTACCCATGGCTGCTTCTGGACTTGTTTTAGGTTTGGGTCCCAATTTGTAAATGCATTTGTTTGGCTCCTGGGTGGCTCGCACACCGTGGCACTATGCCGGAAATTTGAGTTTTTCCGGCCTGGAAAGCCTATCAGTGAGGCGCAAGAACTTGTAAATCATGTCCTGAGGGCCAGCATAGTGGCAGGAGTGTGCGGTCAAAATTTCACTCAAATCCATTGAGAAACACCAAAGTTACGGTCAATTGAATGTCATATGAAATTTATGGGTAGGCTGCCCCCTTAACGCGATCATCAGAAACCAGTAATGAGCAAATCTAGATTCGATGTTTCAAGCGTAGCCTCACGGTCTCAGGATAACATTCGGGTACCCACCATGCCACCCAACAGCCACCATTTGTCGTCGTCACAAAATCATTCCTGTCGCCAGCCGCTATAGACTAAAAATATTTTGCCTCGTCTATAAACATTTGCATGGCCGCCGCAGCCCTCTACTTGCTGAGCTTTTTGTACTTAGATCAAATAGCAACCATACGGATGCCTTGACCAGGGGACAGTCCACCCTCGCTTTAGCCCTGCCTAATGCTTCGTCACGGTATGGTTACTACAAGCATACTTTGCCCTACCTGGCTGCTGACAGGTGGAATTCTCTTCCAGCAGCATGCCGCCAGCTGGCCAGGCAGCCTCATTTGCAATGTTCAACAGTATTCTACGCAGCCTCTTTTGCAATAATGGCATAGTATGCAGCCCCCGTTTTTATTTACTCTATTTCGCGCACTTACGGTTTTCTTCATTCAGCTCTATTTCACGCACTTACCTAAGGTACCCTGTGAAAAGACGGGGATTGCCCTAGTAAAATAATAAATACTGCTACCGTAAAGTACCGCCAGAGCGCCCCGTCTCGCGAGAGCTCCCCACCTTGATTTTACAGCCAGAGAAAGGAAAATCGTATGGCAGAGTGCAACGAAGTTTGTACGATGTAAGAATCTTAGTGTACTAAGGTCACACTTGGCAGGTTTTTGTGTGGAGCTTGTGTCCGCTTGAAGGTACTGATTGACTGCAAAACGTGCTATATGTGTACAAGGTTCATGTCGTATGACCTACAGACAGCAGACCACCTCCACAATACGACCACGAAAGGATGAGATGGTGGGCCGCTCTGGCGGTACTTTACGGTACTACTCTGTCCCTGCGGGAATTTGCGGAAAATATCCTAGAAAACTTGCGCAAGAAATTGCGGCAGAAAACAACAAAAAATGCGGCGAAAAGTGCGGAACTTGCCAGGAACTCGCGGAATTATTGGCAGAAAATTGCGGATTTGGGCCAAATCACGAAATTTGTTGTATCCTTAGAATCGCTATTTGCGTACTGTGGAACCTACGAGCAGGATCATGCCTTTCATGGAAAGCACTGTATACTGCGTGAAAAGTGCAGAAAAATGTCAAAAGAAGTGCAGAAAACAGCAAAAAACGCGGGAAATCGCGGGTTTGGGCCAAAATCGCGAAATTTGTTGCGTCCGTGGAATCGCGATTTCCTGGAGGGACAGACTACTAGATCAGCATTGGTTTATAAACCCACATACACACATGTAATAATACACATACACATAGACATAATAACACCGAGGTACAAGTGCGAGAAAACCTAACAAGCGTGTTAGCATTGTTGCAATCTTGTCTCCCAGGAAACTATATATGCATGTACATGTAGAAATGATTCTCGCCCTAGCCCTGCGGACTGCAGACTCACGAGCGTGATGTCAGGTTCTCCCACATGCTCTTCCTCCATACAATTATATAAAATCATTGTGAAAAAGGTACTCAAGAATGAACTCGGATGGAGAGCCAAGGATTAATTAATTATATAAAAAGTAAAAAGTGGTGTAAGTGGACATTATAGTGTAACTTGTAGTTTCTTGGTCCTTTTTACTTCTTATAAAAACAGGTACTCTTCAAAAGTATTAGAAAACGGCAAAGGAGCTGCAACTTTGTATGAAAGTGTGACAGGACGGGGCAAGAACTGTTCCTGTGTGCCATATGTAACCCCTTTCATTAGTTTTAAGCTCATACATTCATGTATACCGGTATTAAAGAAGTTACCAGAGATCTAATACTAGTACCTCCATCATGCTTTTCTGTGATTTAAGCCGGTATTCTCTGGCTCTTGTGGTGGTGGTGGGATTGGTGCTGCTTGCTTTGTTGTTGTCATGGTTGCCGGCTGTGTTGTTGTCTTTGTTGTTGTTATGTTCATGCACAGATAAGAATGCGCACGGACTTCGCAACGGATCTTGCACTGGTAGTATTGTGTGGATGTATGCTTGGTATCCTCTTCATTGAGGCTAGCCTATCGAGATGGAACCAGGCCAATGCATTTTCTGGACTTGTAGTTGGTCTGACCGGAATGATCACAGCCCTACGACCGCTTGGTACGGATGAAACCCGTCCCATCTTTTGGCGAGAGAGCTCCAGTGGGATCAACCGACTTGCCTACTTCTTATCTATCACTGTCGGACATTTTCCGGTCATGGTCTTGTATCCCGTCTTCTTCTTGGGCCCGTACTACTTTCTAACATCACCTCGAGCCTCTTACGGAGACATGTACATTGTGCTGATATTTACATACTGGGCTGTTCTGGGTGTAGGGTACTTGATCTCCATAATCCTCCATCCGGACAACAGCAAAATGGGGACTATCGTCGTTGCCATGTTTTGTACCGCCATGTCGGGCGGAACGCCGACAACCATCTGCACATTTCAGACATATACTTTCATCGGGCCGTTAGCGTACACCATCGCTTACAGCAAGTGGTATTCCGAGGCCATGTTTGAACTCGAGGCAAACGCGTACCATCCAATCATGGCGTTTAACGTACAGTACATTGCTGGCTTCCAGGACTATAGCCTGACCAACTTTGCCTTCTGCTTGCTAATGTTGCTCGCTATCGGTGTGGTTAGCAGAGTTATCGCTTTTCTCTTCCTCATTTTCACTCATCGAGGAGAACAAAAGTAAGGTCATATGAAGTGCAGTAAGTTAGCTGAGACGGTGTGCCAGCACCCTTGCTACTTCTAACTCATTCCATTTACATGATGAACAGTGGGTCGTCGGATTCTGCTCAAGATTTTTTTGCTTTTGATCAGACTCATTAGTATTAAATGCTTTCAGTCTGCTCGCAAAAGACCATGATTCTGCTCAATGCTCTGCTTCTCTTTATTGTATGAGATATCCTCAAATACAATCAAGTACATACTTGTAGGTCCGCATGCCATGCGATAGACACATTCTTTATTGCAGTTTTGGGAGGGTTGTCTACACCATAGCCAATCAGCATCCTCCGTGAGCGGGCAGGTATTTTCGTGTATTGCCCGCTGGATCAGATAACTGTGCACATGCCCATTAGTCGGTTGAATCCTGAGCGTTTCCCGAGCAGATAGCATTTTTGGTCTGATAGATCTAGCCGGTTGACACGCCGATCACCAAAATGACGCAACAAGCTCGGGAAGAATGGAGGGCTCCACTTGCGATGGGCATGTGTAGAATAATCTGATTCAACAGTCCATACATCTTCGTTGTTGTTGTTGTTGTTGTTGTTGTTGTTGTTGTTGTTGTTGTTGTTGTTGTTGTTGTTGTTGTTGTTGTTGTTGTTGTTGTTGTTGTTTTTGTTGTTTTTGTTGTTTTTTATTTGTTTTTTGTTTTACTTGAAACCACGCACCCAATTCGTAAAACAAGAAAGAAGGAGGAAATGACAAAACAGCAGACTAACAAGACATTGACTGAAGGGGGGCTGCAAATGCAACGCAGCGATGGTTATGGGGTGCTGCAGGCTCCGCCGACCTATAGGCTCTGCATCCGCGCCTACTTCACGCATCAGAAGATCTGGAGAAAAAGAGAAACAAAAGAGATTGAAAAAAGAAAGAAAATAGCGAAAGTATAGTGTGGAGAGAGAGAGAGAGAGAGAGAGAGAGAGAGAGAGAGAGAGAGAGAGAGAGAGAGAGAGAGAGAGAGAGAGAGAGAGAGAGAAGAGAGAGTGAGAGAGAGAAAATAAGAAGTGTATTGAAGGGTTAGAACCATAGAGTAGGAGAGGGGGAAACTGTATGAAAGACCTATCTCCTGGTAAGAGTCATTATCACACACGTTCCCTAGTAGTATAGGGGGAGGAGGAGACTTGAGAGATCAGCCCGACAGGGCCGATCAAGAAAGTCGATTTTGGCTCACCTTCAGGTGAGCCAGAACACCCTTCCCTATACTACTAGGCCTACTATAGAATAATCCTTCGTTCGCCAAAGTGATATTCTAAAGAATATTCCTTCGAAGAAAACACCATTCGTTGCATCACTACACGTCTGACAATACATGTACATACTACAATTGTACATGTACAAACTGTAAGTTATCGATAAAGGCTTTAAGCTTCGGAAAAACGTGTTGAAAACACTGACTATAGAATAAATGGAGCGTAAATGGCCGATGATGTGTCGAAGCCGTGGATTTCCTACATGCCTTGTCACTGAGACCATTATGACTGTAACAATAGGATACTAGTAATGGTTTGATTAGGTGAAACATTGCACACACAGCTATTGGTGAACAGGATGAAAAGTGACCTTCGATCGGTTAGTTCAGCCCACACTCTACACGCCGTGATGTCACCGTAGAAAATGCTAGAAAATGCCGTCCATGCAGCCCACATCTTGAGTTCAGACAGTAGAAACAAAAGCTACGGTGCAGGCTAACCACATGTACATCACTACATGTAGGAGTTGGGGGTGATGTGGCGCTACCCCGCGCCAGGCGTGGGGAAATTTGACAGCGGTGTCCTCAATAGATCGGTTGACAAGCGAGCCTTATGATAAGGCATATCACAGGGCAGCCGCCACACACACGCAAGCTCTGCACCATCTTTTGAAATTATTCCTCCACTCGACAATGCCATTCAGTACTGCAACCGCAAATCTCGTGTGGGCTAAAGCCTGAAGACAACTGACTGGACTGGTCGCAGACCCTATCAGTATCACGGGCGAACACAGTAGATTGGATTCTGCATGCGTTCACCAGCACTGATGTACAGAGTCGTACAGTGACAGTGTCTGGTGAAGGTCTGATGTGAGGCCCGATCCGTCATCAGACAGATTGATAGCTTGTCATAATCAGAATCATCTGTCTTCGACCCTTCATGGTAGCGACAGGTGGATCAGATTCGCGTACCCACCCCGGCCCGGTGCACCAAGGTCTGAAGTGCCTAGTTCATGGCTGATAAATATGGTGGTAAAGACTCACCTGGTAATATGGCGGTAAACATCATGGCTGTTAGAACTATGAGAGACAGAGAGAGAGTACGGAGATCATCCATTCCCGGATGAGCGTACTAGTATTCCTCCTCTTCACATTTCCCTCCGTTGACTCAGACGCGACGGGTTGGAAAACGGGAAAGTGCTTAGTGCAATAGTGCATTAGTGGGTGTACGTCTGCACACAGGATAGTCTATGGCTGACATCATGACACCGCGATATTGGGCGATATTGATCGGACACCCACAATCACGTGAACATGTTGAGTGCAGCTCACTTCGCCGTCACCACGAGCACAATGCCAGTAATGACTTGCTTGAGTAATGTTGTTGTTTCGTCTCGTGCCGCGGTGACAACTCTTTGATTTCCCTACTATAAAAGACGAGGCTCGCACTACCTACCGGTATTATAAACCTCTTGCTGTTGTCAGCAAACAGCATCGGTGTACCACTATCACAGCTTTAACTCCAGACGTTCAGTCTTTAGAACAGTCTTAGTTTTCATTGTGTTGTGCAGTGCAGATCCTCTTTCAACTGGTCTCGGCTACGTGTAATAGGTCTAACTAGTTGCTAACACTAGTTCGTTGGATACCTGTATTCGCTCGACGGTGCTCACCGGAAATCCCCATCGGGAGGTAAGTTCTTTGTACATTTGCTTCTCCTTTGGCGAATGGTTTTCGGATCGAGTGACCCAGGCGAGCTCAAAACAATTAGTTATCACTAGAAATACATTGATACAACCAACATTATCATCAATACAGACTTCGTTTGTCTTGCACCGGTTGCTAGGCGACTTTTTGGCCTCAGTCCGGCCTGCGTCGAGGCTGCAGAATGATTGTTCGTCGTGGCTATTGCTGTACTGGATGTTCTTGTCGCATCACAATCCGTGTTTTGCCTGATAACACAGCTGATATGCAGGTGCATGTACATGCTAGAACTCCACTGTACGATATCGTGCGACTGCAGTCTACGATTGAAATACGTATGTGTGCTGGATGAAGCCTCTCTGGAATTGAGGCATTTGACTCCATGGAGTCAAATGCCTCAATGCCAACATTCAGCTGCTGATATCTCCCCCCCCCCTCCCTCTTGCACTCACCGCTGTATTGCCTGAGTACCTGCCCTGAATGTGACTATCAACATCACTAGTTGATTCTCAGCAGGCGCTAGTCCTCGCAGTTCTACTTCTCAGATGTGCCAAGCGTCACGACCTCCTGCAGCTTCCAGGCACCAAAATCAGGACTGCTCCACTTCACACCAGCAGTTGGTGATGGTATAGCACACTCTACATGTAGTTTCCAATCCATACACCATTGGAACTAACTTCACCGCGCTCTATCTCCTAGCGGTTACGGAATACTTCTCCAGTGTGGAGAGGACACCAACGGAAGTAGTTCTAAGAAGAGAAGCGTGGGGAAAGGCCTAACAAGAAGACGCCTATGTCCAAATCTCACTCCCCATGTCCGGTCACGTAAGGTAGTTAAGTTACATGACATATAGGTACTACTTCAAGTACTACACTCTGCTGGTAAGTCTACGATCGACACGTCCACGCCTCTGTAAATTGATGAGTACTGAGTCTAGTCTGTCGTCGACAAGCTTTGCGGTGTTCGCGTTACGTGTACAATGCGATCAATAGATTTACTGACTGTACGTGTGGCAGTGCTTGCTGCCGAAAACGTCCTCTACCACCACAACAGTACCGGTATACCGGCACTAGGTCTTCCTGCACTAATAGTAGTAGTACTAGTAGTAGATCTACTACTGTGCAGGGAGTATGTTCGAGTGACGGGTGTTGTCTGTTGATAATTATTATGACTGTTGTCACGCTGTGTCAGACTGAAACCGTCTGTGGGACATGCTGTGACTGTACTTCGAGCTACATGTACAGCTGCAAAAGGTGTGAAGAGACCTACCCGCAACAAATAGAATGATCCACCCTGGGCTGTTACATGTTACCACTTGTGCTCGGTCGAAAGTCTAGAAAGACTAGATCTTGCGACCTGGCATGTCGACTGTCGACTGTCGGCTGCGGATGCCGACACTCGGCAGTGCAGCTCCGCTACAGTAGCAGTCGTAGATCATTCTACTTCTCAATGTGTAGATATGTCGACAGCGTGCAGTCAGTGGACATGCACTGCATGCACGGGAAATGGCCGAAACAGGAAGCAATGAAAAAAATAACCCGGTATTTTGTGCACATTCTTCGAATGCTGGATTGCTCAAAGTGATACTAGTAATGTCAGTGTCCGTGAAATGTTCCAGTTCTTTATTTACTTCCGTCTCGACACAATGGATTCTGGCCATTAGTATTCTCTCTCGTGTGACATTTTCGTTGCTTTGTTACTTTGGTCGCTTCTCACTTTGTGATGCTACTCTTCAGAACGTTTCACAATGCGGTCTGCCCTGTGGCTGTCGTTGGCTGCACTGCTTGTGTTCCAAGCGTTGGTGCCGGCAAGAGCTGATGATTTCCTGTTCAGTGATCAAGGTGAGAGTAAGTGCCTGTGTTTATGGACTATGCCCGGTATCTGGGTATGCCCGGTATCTGGGTATGCCCGGTATCTGGGTATGCCCGGTATCTGGGTATGCCCGGTATCTGGGTATGCCCGGTATGCCGTGTGCAGATCAGTGAGTGCATGATTGTAGTAACGTTAGTACCGGTAAGTCGGTAGCCGAAGCCGGGATGAAATGCCTGTGCACGAGGACCCGGCGGCGTTTCCATTAGTAATAGTAGTACAGGCTTGGGGAACAAGGATTCGTCAAGTGGTGCATACTGTACTTTTGTGGCAGTGTTTTCAGATATCAGGTCTACATAGTGCCTCGCTGAAGTATTTTAATTTCGACAAGTGCACGGCAAGTAGAAGGGAATGTCCAGATTGACAGAATCGTTTCAGTGACACCATGGTGATCAAATCGAAAACAAAATGGAGCAGTTGCCATGGTTTCCATTTCTCATTTTGAATATCATTGGAGCACCTGCTTGTGTTGTATCATCAGAAGGGTGTGTTTCGAATTCTAAAGAAGGAACGGTCTCTGCTGGGGTAACCACTGGGACCTAGCCTTGTGGCAGAGCATCACTGCACTGGATTTTTTATTTTATATCTTTTACGAATGACACAATCCCTACAATCAGACACACATCAGACAGAGAAAGGAAAAAAAGCACAAAGAAGGAGGAGAAAGGACAATGACAAACCGCTCTGCTTATAAGCTACTGGGAGTCCTTGCGGTGGCAGTCAGTCTTTGTCCTACAGTCGTCCTTTCTCACTTCATCTCCTTCAGACTAATAGATATTGTTGGTTGTGTTTATTTGAATTCGCAAACCGTTGTTGGGCTCAGTACACTTGCATTCCCCATGCCTTTGGCCCAGCTCGGGGTGCTTCAGTGCATGAGGTAACACATTTCGAGATTCCTCATAAAGCAAGGATCAAGACAATAGGTAGAAGTAGGCAATCATGTAGATCATGCGAATGTATACATGTATGTCAAAACATTGTCTCATGTTGTGTGTATGTGTATTGCCGCAGATGAAGATCAGGCGAAATCACGTGAGCGGCGAGGAACGGTATGTATCCAGTATTCAGTGCATCGATGACAGCTCAGCACATTTATCACTGACAGCCTGTGTTTCTTTGCAAGAACAAACCATACAGTCTAGGATAGGTATTTTCATGCTTGAATTTGCAATCTGGCTTCCGGAATATTGCAGAGAACCAGGGGAGGGGGAGGGGGGGAGGTGTTACGAATGAAGTGGGAATCATGGTCATCATTGGGTAGGAGTTTGACGAAAAACATAGAACGGAGGATGTAGTGGGGGGGGGGGGGGTAATAAAATGGGGCACGATGAAAAAGTGAGTGAGATTGGCAACAGAATGATTATGAGGCACAGCAGCAGTGACGCATCTCAAGCATGTTTCATTACACCGAAGCCTAGACCGGCCACAACCATTTGCATATAAACACTGTTAAAATCTCATATACAGCCTGAATATTTTTTCTCTTGTCTCTTCTTGGGATGCCGGCAGAAATTTATGTGTGAAGGATACAACACTTCTTCTATTGGTAGCTATGATTTGGGGGTGTCCACGCCTTTCCTCCATCATCAAAAAGCACATGGAACATTTTGACATGATCAGGCTTTCTGCTGTTATTCTTTTGTACTGCAGTCCAGCCTCTTAGAAAAACTTCTTGGTTACCTGAAGCTGGGAAACCTGTTTCCACGTCCGGATGTAGACCATGAAGGATGTCCTCCGGTGAGAACTGTTTACTAAGTCTTAGTGCAGTGGGTTCCTATACATGTACTCTGCCTGCTTGACGGACTAGGCCACGATTGGCAAAGGCACATGCTGCTCTAATTATCGGACTGAGCATGATGTATGCAGATCAGTGCAGTACATATGCGAAACCCTGAGGCTGACATAGCCTCCGTCTACTACTCTGTTGCACTAAGCACTGTGCCAGTGGCATGTAGGCATTTTGGGTGCTGCCTGCAGATATTATGAAGTTATCAATCATGAAAATTATTTAAATCCACATCTGTTATCTTGTAGAGTGATGACATCATTGTATTGAAACGTCGTCTCGGGGTTGCCTGAGCACACACACACACTGCACAGCGATTATTAGACGACGGCCCCTTGAGGGTGGTGGCATTCTTGCAGATGTGGAGAACTGAGTGCGACCGAGTCTGACATGAGCCGTGAAGTAGATATATTAAATTTTATTCGGCGATGATTCGGCTTTGTGTATCCTAATGAGTACTCTGTAAAAAAAAACAAATAAAAAATAGGCGGATACCACACGCTCTATCTAACTGCAAGCAGTTCTGTCACCTCCTGCAAATCCATCTCCATTCCACATCCCGGTTACAGACTGCGTAACAAGAGCTGTATGTAGAGTATTCACTATTCAACCGCATTCTTCTAATGAACGTCCGTTAAAATTACATGTATGTGTTTTTCTTTTAAAAAAATCGACTACAGGCAAGCTCCGTGTTTGGTCAGTGCAACAACTCCTGGACGGACGTGACCCAGGAGGAAATTGATGCCGAGGCGGATGCCCTGATAGAACGCCGTGCCCAGAATCCCACCGAATTTGTCGACGCTGTGAGTCTTCCAACCGGCTCTGTGTTTACTGTGTGTGACTAAAATGATACATGGGGCATGCTTTCACACATGTACTGCAATCTACTTCATACAAACAACTTACATTCAACACCAGTATTTCACCCCAAAAAAGTCGGTGGGGCTTTTACTCCGATGATCAATTTAACGGTGATAAAAGAGTAGATGTCTGTATTTCGTGGCAAAAATGGGGGAGGGGGCGGTGTGGCTTATACTCCTGTGCGGCTTATACTCCTGTGCAGCTTATACAGCCGTCCCTCTCTAATCCGGCACTTGTTTATCCGGAACCCTTGCCAACCGGCGCACTTTCTGACGAAACCGATTTTTTTCGTTCAATTCCTACATCTTAATCCGGCACTTGAATTCCGCCTCCGGCAGTGACTTTTTGAAACGAATCGCTCAAACTGCACGTAGTTTGATTTCATAATCCGGCAGTCGTAAATCGCGTACCGTACAAGTGCACTCCTTGCCAGGCCAGGCTAGGCTTTTCCAGGAGACAACGGCAGTCATACTTTCTTATTTTCATTTAGCAAGGAGTAGTGTCCTGACAATTTTCAGGTGTGTGTGTGTGTGTGTGTGCGTGTGTGTGCAAGAGTACATGGGAACATAATCTCTGTTTTACTTTATCACTTTTTCACTGTGTATATTCCCGGAGAACAATTGAGAATATAAAGCCGTGCACCAAATACTTGGGTCGACACGGAAAAACCCTGCGTTTTGACATGAACGCAGGCAGGCATAGTGGGATGGTCTAATACCATGATTGAGAAACAGAGGGTACCAGGTTCAAGTCCTGCTTGGAAGCGGAAGGATTTTTTCCAGCCGTGCTGCGACCCACAGTTAATTGGGAACTCGTGGCCTGGCACGAGGAAAACATGGATGCAGTGAATGGGATTTTCGGTCTTTGACCACTTGCTGGTGAGCTGATCTACTCACCTCCCACCGCTTTAGGAGCTGCATCTGCGCCTTGATCCTTGAAGGGTGGTGGCGTTCCTACGGATGCGGAAAACCCGGCTTCCAGCCGAGTCTCACGCGAACCGTGAAATTAATTTTTGACATACATAATTATGATACATGTACATGCATGCAATTGGATAGGGCCGGGTCAGAGGGCAGGATTTCTTAATCCAGCACCCTCGTTAATCCAGCAGAAAACGCCGTAGCAAAAGGTGCCGGATTAGAGAGGGACGACTGTACTCCCGAAAATACGGTAGCACCATTCTCCTCATGAGTAACATGTTGAAGTTATCCATCCATACTTTCAGTACACATTCTTCTCGCAATTTCATTACAACGGGAGAGATGAAAACTGACGTTGAACTAAAAAGTGAGTGAGTGCAAGGGAAATGAAAAGAGAAACTCCGAAGAAACAAAAACGCAGAAAACGAAGGGATCTTTGCTTTTGGTCATCGATGCTCCCCGCTATTCCTCAGTGTTCATGATATTGACATAATATATTTTCACTTCGTGTTCTAGTATTCAAGAGGTCTGAAAGGAGTAAAATAATTACAGGTCTGCTCTCGAGTCTCGATATATCAACTCTCACTTGCACGTAAACCTCGCTAGTAAGTAAAAAAAATCAAATCCCGCGCCGAAACAGCATCACTCCCATACAAATTTTGTTCTACACAACGTAATCCTACATAACATAAACCTCGACATAACACACGCTACGGCGCAGTCCCCGACGTGCGCACTCTCGATACAACGTAAATTCACGTGTACGCTACGATCAAGCGGTAGCTGTAGCTAGCCAGTTTAGTCCTACATAACGTAAACCTCGGCATAACGCAGGCCACGGCGCGGTGCCCGATGTGCGCACTCTCGATACAACGTAGATTCACGTGCGCGGTACAATCAAGCTTTAGCCAGTTTAGTCCTATTGTGCATATATTCTGCGGCATTGGTGGTATCTAATGTCGATGGTGGTACAGTGTGTATATGTTTGCACGGTTGCACCCGCCTCGTAATACCCTTCATTTTTAGGTACATCTTGTACTTTACACACGGTTTTCTACATAACATAACTCTCGATATAACATATTTTGCGCGGTCCCAGAGATTACGTTATATGGAGAGTAGACCTGTACTACTCGACTTTTCAGGATACTGGGCTTTATAAGAAATGGTTTGCTCCCCACACCGGAGCTCGCGCTATTCCGCCGACTTTACTTGACACTTGACTGACTCACGACTGCCATCCAGAGCACACGAGAAGTCCATCGAACCTTCGATTCGGCAAACCTGCAAGAAAGCACCACTCCCTGCTCAATACACAGTGTTTCGGGGAATTCACCCCTCATCAGTTGAGCTTGAGTAGGCTGAGGCAGATTGTGCCTGAAGAGCACCACTTATATAGTGCTCTCCAGGCACAAACATCACCAGGGATACAAACTTACAGAGATGCGCCGTTTCCAGCGCGACAAACACCTTGTGAACACCAGATAGCAGCGTGAGTCAGTGTCGCTCCTGGACGGTGAGACAGACACTGGGCTTTATAACCTGAAAAAGGATAACAGCGCCAAGTTGCACGGACACCGGCCAGGAGCCCATCGAATCAGGTAGCGCAGACCTATCCCGAGTAAGTGTGAACCCAACCAGCGTGATTCACACAACCCATCAGCTATGAAAAATGACAGTGCAATAACTACACATCTTATCATGTCCCCTTCTTGCCTGAATGCAGTATGTAAGAATGTTCCAGAGCACTTCAGGATTCACGCGCGGGCGCGCAGCAAATGTCACCTAGATGTGCTAGAGGCTGTTTACATTGCCAAGCTACAGCCTGAGCTGTGTAGACAGAAGGAATTTGTTAGGAAGCTAGTGCTATTTTGACTTCCCACCTCCCTGTTATAGTGCGTGTACTCTTTGGCGCAACTCACACTATCATTCAGCCTGTGTACGTTTCATCACAATGTTTCCGCCAATATGCTGTATAAATTGACATCGTTGTGCTTCGTCCCATTATCACCATGTACTGATTTTGAAGAGTAATGGTACGAAAGGCCTCATCAGATTTTCAACTAGCTTCATCTCTTCGTGTGCTGATATGTTTCCCTCCGAATAAGTCTCTATAAAAAGGATAATCTTATATTATGTGTATGTCTGCGGGTGTGTGCGTGTGTGTGTGTGTGTGTGTGTGTGTGTGTGTGTGTGTGTGTTTGTGTATATTTTGTATGTGTGTGTGTATGTCTGTGTGTATATGTGTGGTGTGTGTGTGCGTGCGTGGATGGGTCTGATTTGAATGGAAATGCGTTACTGCGTTTAGCTCCAGCAACCCTTGCGTGAGCACATCGAACCGAATGCGCAGTTCCAGATGGATCTAGCCATTGACCCTGAGTGGAGTGCAGTATATACGCCAATTATCCAATCTGCAAGGCAACTAGCTGGGCTTTATAACCAGCTCAATCCACCCACAGGTGAACTGGTCACAGAGTTTGATACGTACGCAAACGTCACCAATTTCTTCCGTGAGACCTACTCCAACTCACCACCGATCCCGGCAGAGTACCGCCCGTGGACGTTCCATCCAGCCACAGACCCCAACATTACTGTTGATGCACGTTGGAACGACGACCGAGTTTTCGCTGCTTCTCGCTTGGCCGGATACAACCCAGGCAGCATATATCGTATTGGATCCCGGGGTCTTCCTCTCTCCAAAGTTCGGCAGTTTCGAAACACAGACTTTGATTGGGACAGCGCTGTTCAGGCAGCATCAGGGTATACTTATCGACAAGTGAGTGCTTCACAAATGCATGTGTTCTCTCTCCATAATGGTACCCAGACAATGTGTGCATTGAATTGTTCAGTGTACTCTTGCATTATACTACATAGTATGTGCTTGTGACGCACATGCATGCATACATATATGTGTGTGTGTGTGTGTGTGTGTGTGTGTGTGTGTGTGTGTGTGTGTGTGTGTGTGTGTGTGTGTGTGTGTGTGTGTGTGTGTGTGTGTGTGTGCGCGCGCGCATGCGCGCGCACACATGCCTGAGATAGATCGATCGATCGATAGATAGATTGACACACAGACAAAAATACAGCCATCCAGGTGCCATCTTCATTCTCACTGGTACCAATTTGACTCAAACACATTTCATTCGCCCTTGAGGCACATGTGAAACCGGCATAAGCCTGCATCAAAAATATTTGTGAGCCAACATTGTTAGATCAGGCAGTGAAAGGCGGATAAAGATTACGATGATAGTTGCTAAATATTTTACATTCAGCACATCGGCCTCATCAAGTGAGGTACCTCCAGATAAATACATAGGCATGTTGTAGCATCGCCATGTACAGTGCTGCCAAGTTTTCCGGTCTTTGGACACCGTCCGAAAACTCACCCCTGTCAGCAAACCTATCTGATAAAGAGTAATCCCGCCGTGTACAGAAATCCCAAGGAGATGTATGTGTAACAGTGTACATGTACATTGGTATAGTGTTCAGATTGAAATCCATGCACACCCATATCACCTTACCACACGGTAACAAATTGGGCGTCTGCAAAATGTGGCTTAGAAGACACCTTTTGCAGACCCCAAAATATTGTTCCTATGATTTGGTTGAAATGTTTTACCATCACTGTATTTGACTGATCCGAAGCAGTCATCTTGCACTGCCAGCAATGGTGCTCAGTGTAGCCCTGCCTGTATCAATGGTAATAATCCCTGGACAGCGAAAGACTGCCGGTTTTTAGCTGTATTATACTGAATGCTGTGTTCTGTGTTCTATGTTCATACAGGCAGTGCACTGCCGGTTTTTAGCTGTATTATATTGAATGCTGTGTTCTGTGTTCTGTGTTCATATAGGCAGTGCTGAGGGGCCGACTATACGCCCAGTATCACCCTATCCTCCAGAACATCACCATTTTCAGAGGTGCTTTTGCCGGAGAGAAATTCCTGACCCCATTCGCAGTGTTTGTCCTGCCCCGTGGCAAGCAAGACCTTCGACCTGTTGCAATTCAGCTGGGATTGTCACGTAAGCATTGCTGGGCTCGCTCGGATGCAGTGGAGCATTATCGACATTTATTGCCTAAGGCTGTGTTTACATGAGGCGTTTCAACCCGCCATGTACACAAAATGAATGGCGCGTTTGCATGACGCATTGCTAACGTACTTCTGTGCGTATCTCGCGCCAGGCTTGAATAGCACTGCACATGCAAATTTCGCGCGAAAGTATTCATGTGACCATACAGGGCTCTAGAAGTGGACTTTCGGCGGCGTATCAGTATTTGACCCGGGTCAACTGTCTTGATGTAAAAGCTCACCAATTTTGTCTATCGTACAGACTTTCAACCCGGGCTGAACTCGACCCGGGTTGAAATTTCTCATGTAAACACAGCCTGACTGTGCATGCTGCTGTATTTACTTCTCTTATTGAACAACAGGCAGGACAAGTGCCAGGTGTTGTGGATTGACCATTCAGTTGTGGGGAGCCATGTTGAGCTTTACACACGGAGTGATGGCGTTGCCTGTGTGTGTGTGTGTGTGTGTGTGTGTGTGTGTGTGTACACGCATGTCTGTGTGTGTGTGTGTGTGTGTGTGTGTGTGTGTACACGCATGTCTGTGTGTGTGTGTGTGTGTGTGTGTGTGTGTGTGTGTGCATGTGTATGCGTGTGTGTGTGTGTGTGTATAATATATGCGTGTGCGTGTGTGTGTGTGTGTGTGTGTGTGTGTGTGTGCGCGCGTGTGTGTGTGTGTGTACATGTTGTTCTTTTCCTGTGTTCAGGTACTTCTCCAGTGCACTCCCCTGAATCATCATTTTTCTGGTGGACCTACTCAAAGATCGTGGCCAATAATGCCAATTCCCTTGAGAATAACATCGAGAAACACTTGCATAATTCACATTTCACGGGAGGGCGATTTGCTGTGGTCACCCAGGCCGAGGTGGCTCCCAACCATCCTCTTCGAATTCTGCTGGATCCTCATTTTAGAGGTGTTCACCGTACGTTAACAGAGCTGCTTTGTTTCCTTTTCTGAGCTGTATGCTTATTGACTATGTCCCACATAGACCAATTTTAGTGACTGGTTTGTCCTTTTTCTAGTCCACAGATCAAGCCGGAAAAGGCTCTCTAACTAATTTACAAAGTCTGACCTTGAACACTCTCTGCTAGGAGGGCAACGACCCGTACACTCTAGATTTTTGTGGTAGAACACTGCTTGCCTGTAGCAGAAGTCCCTGCTCCGAATCTCGGTAATTTCTTGTGCGAGGTCAGTTTGGAGCTCAGGTCTATGAAAGTTCGTAATGAAGTTTCACTGCTCTACGGGATCCTCTCTAGAGAACAAGTTAGTAGTAGTAATAGTAACGTTAGTGCCAGTGGGCCATTTGCATAACGGCTTCTTATCGAGCCTTAATATTAAAATAGAAAATCTTCAAATACAATGTTCTTTCCAAAGCCAGCATCCCGGCGGCTGATAAGCTCTATTTGTACACATGTCTTTTATCGTTCAGAGACCAACTCCATTGGCGAAGTTTCTCTGTTCTCACGTGGTTCAGTCCTGGACTTTGGCACCTTGCTGACGTTTGACGGAACGGCAGAGTACCTTGCCCAGTCCTACCAGCAATGGAACTACCGCGAGATGAACCTGCATCGTGAAGTTGCCGTGAGTAGTACACTGGCCTGGTCGCAGGGATTTAGCAACAATTGTATCCTAGTGCTGACGTGTACTTGTTCAGTGATGGTTGCCATTGAACTGCGGACAATTTTGATACCATCAAATACTTTCTGACAATCCCCATCGATACTACATGTCCTCAACTTCAAATTAAACTTTCTTTATCAAAAACTTATTTGGTCGACCCGATGACCAGGATTCGATGTGCGCTTCCGGCTGCAAGGCAATGCCAATCCTTAAAAGCAATAAAAGGCAAATGGTATCTTAGCCTAGGCCAGTCAAAATGCTGGCATGCTGCTGGCATACTGCTGGCATACTGCTGGCATACTGCTGGCATACTGCTGTACCCATGTAAATGTAGTCTGGTTTCACGGAATCATTGGACCTAGTAGAGCATCAGAAAGTTCTAATCCTGTGTGCTGTCATGTTCATTTGTCATTGTGTTATGTTGCAGTACCGCGGTTGTCGTAACCTGCCGTACTACCCCTACTATCACGACGGCTTGCAGGTCTACAGGTTGCTGCAGCGATACGTGCGCAGCTACGTGAGACTGTGAGTACACCAGCGATGAACATATTGCATGTGGTTTAGAGAACTGTGTTGTCTGGCGGAATGAACTACAGCATTGCCTCATTCTGTTGCTATGCTGGTTATATGGGAATATAATTGTTTTTATAGAGAGGACCATAAGTTTACAAGTTATCCGTTTTGACAGACACACCCTGCTGTAGTGGCCCATTTTACCAAAGGAGCTGCACTTCTCAGACCGAGCAGAAACTCACATCGGGAGTGTGTAGCCGGTTTCCCACACCATCTGCAGGGCTCCTGGCCTGCGCGGAGCGCTGGTGGGTGGTCGGGACGGTGCTGGGTGGGTGCGCTCGATCGTACTGCTGCTGCTTGCGGCGGTGCAGAGATCTCCAATTGGTGACGCTGCGCCACCACTTGTCGGTGTACCTGCTCGTAGTTCCTGGCGTGCGGAGCAGCCTTGGCCAGGTCTGGCTTGTCGAGCAGCTGGAGCTCGAGGGTGAGCTTCCTGTCCACCAGGTTGGCCATGAAGCGATCGTGGATGCGGTCATCGCGAGCGTCCTTGAACTCGCATTTGTCCGCGATGCGGTGGAGACGACGCAGGAACTCGTCCACGGTCTCGGATGGCGACTGGGCGGCGCGTTCGAACATCGTTCGTTCGTGGACGACGTTGGAAATGGGCTTGAAGTAGGCCGAGAGTTTTGTCTCCACTTCCTGAGATTTATCGCGATCGCCGGCGTTGTCGAACGTCAACAGTGGTCACCTGAGGACCCATCGTGTTCAGGACAGGTGCGACCAGTTCTGAACTGCGGAATCGCTCCAGTCCGTCGTCTCATTGAGTCGGATCAGAAAAATCCAATGTTCCCGGTGGCTGGAATCGAGCCATCCTGAAGTTGCAGACAAGGTTCGTTGCAGATCAATGTTATTTTTTATCACTGATCCTGTTCACTGCGCCATGTAGCGGTAGCTACTTAGAGTAGTTTCGCCTGACTGTTTATTGCAAAAGGGGGAACATTATCGGACACTGAAAAGCACAACTAATTGTAAGGAGAGCAGGAACGAAGAGTGATTCCAATCGGGAATCACTGTGTAGAGAAGACAGAGAGCGGAATAGACTACGGTGCTGCGTGCACACAGTAGCGACCGGAAGCAGCGTGCCCAGTACGGGATGCCATGTATAGATGGAGCCCGAGGGCAGTGCACTCAGACATGAATACGCACGCGCACCCGAGTACTGCATTCAGTGCATGCGGGGGACTGTGCCATAGAAGGGGAAGGGTTAGTGATGCGCAGCCAGCAAGCGCAGCGGTACATGAATGCATGACTCCCGCCATGGGTCTATGGTACAGCTGGCAGGGTGCGGTTCTCACACACGTACACACGTTAGATCAATGCGAGTGAGTGTAGGGAGTAGGAAGGAGAAACCAGGAGACAGACAATGCTATGCCTAGGGATAGAGTTCTGTCATGATGCTACTGATTACACTACACTAACGATTCATGATAAGCAGGATACTGTAGAGTCGAAATGAATTTTTTAAACGCACACCAAACAGATGACTACCAGGCCCTAGGCTCCATAGAATCCAAACCAAAGCTGTTATGAGTTTGACATTGGTGTCATTTGTGGTCACTCCTAAGCAAACACAGCCGTAAAACTATGTGGATTTGGTCTGTAGTGCTTGTGGGAGACTATGGGTTTCTGCAGGTAACGCATTGCATTCTTTTTTCAGATCAGGCCAAGGTAGTTCCCACAATTGCAGGACTTTGGACTACAATGTGTTAACTCTGCTTGGTTGCTTTACAGCTACTACTGCTGTGATCGGCAAGTACGCAATGATGAAACCCTGCAGCGATGGGTGGCTGTGCTCGCCAACGATATTTACCAGGTAATGTATACTCTGTATACTATGTACTCTGTATACTCTGTATGCTCTGTATACTCTGTATACTCTGTATACTCTGTATACTCTGTATACTCTGTATGCTCTGTATACTCTGTATACTCTGTATACTCTGTATGCTCTGTATACTCTGTATACTCTGTATACTCTGTATACTCTGTATACTCTGTATACTCTGTATACTCTGTATACTCTGTATGCTCTGTATGCTCTGTATACTCTGTATGCTCTGTATGCTCTGTATACTCTGTATACTCTGTATGCTCTGTATGCTCTGTATACTCTGTATACTCTGTATACTCTGTATACTCTGGCTGTAATTGCTACTACAGTACAGTGAATTTTGGAGCAATATTGATGCATGAGATCGCATGCAATGCCCCTCCAGACTGCTGGTTGCGCAGGTTTTGGCCCACAATGGAAAAGTGTCAAGTGAGGAGAGTGGACAGCATATGAAAGGGGGTGATCGCCATCTTGGAAGCGGATTCATGTAACAAATTCTTGTTGGCTGACCGCAGCAAGACAGACGAGAAACAAATTATTGCACAACATGTTTTCGCTCCCAACCATGGCATCTACTGTTTTCCTTCATTCCTTAAAACCGCTCAAACAGCGTCCGTCGGCACAAGAGCTTTTTCCCAGCTGGCTCAATCCAGAAAAATCAGTCCGATGGTCCCGGATGGTCTACTTGCGCAGCGACCCACTTCTGGCATCCCAGCGCAAGCATTTTTCGATGCAGATATTCCACTCTCCTTCTATTGACATACAGTTTACATCTGGATGCTGTTCACTACCTAATATGTGTCATTGCTCTTACTGTACAAACCTGTAGGGATGCCACTCTATGTGGAGCGAGAATAAGCTATCATTCGTCCCACAATATCTGTAAAATTTCATTTTTTTTTACCTATTCTGGTAGCAGAGCGCACCTGAAGCCATAGCAGTGTTGCTCTGATGACAAAATACAACCAGGCTGCACTCTTTTCACTGTGGATGTGTGTGTGTGTGCGTGCGTGCGTGCGTGCGTGCGTGTGTGCGTGCGTGCGTGCGTGCGTGCGTGTGTGTGTGTTGTATGTCTTCCAGGGAAGAGCTGGTCTTCCCAGTCGTATTGACAGCGTCTCGGAGCTCAGCGACCTTCTGACTAACATCTTGTGGCTATTCTCTGGTAAGATTGATTTGAGCGGTTCAAAGCAAGCTGATGGGCAAGGATTACAGCAATAAAACGTGAAGGCATTGTGAAGTAGTAGTGTATGACCTAGTCGCGGTATGCCTTTTCTCTGACCTACTGCCCTGTGTATCTTCCTTCCTATGGATATCCCAGGCTACCATGATGCGTACAACTTCCCCAACGCCGAACTGATTTATTCTCCTGCCGCTGGCTTGATTGTTGCGCTGCGGCCCGAGGAGATCAATGCGACTCTTGCCGCAGCCACCACAGAGGACAACCTGGGATATTTCACCTCTATTCTCGGAACGCTCACACCTACACTGGTGAGGTCATGAATCCAGGGTTCAGTTCCTATTGTACTTGCTTGACATGTCACTGAGTTGTGTGTTCGGGTGAACAATCCTACAGTGCTGCTCAATGAAATCGAATCGTGTGAGTCAAGGTTGTGCCCTGCACCAGCTCACATACCAGTGTTCACAGGTCTAGGGGCTGCATAGCGCTGCCCGCCGGTCTGGCATATACTCACTTGATCAGTTTTCATTGAGCAGCATGTATGTTGTGTATGTTGCTGCTCTGTCGTGGAAGCCTGCTTTTGTCAACGCGGTGCTTTGATCATGAGCCGACATGCAAACTGCATACCCGATACTGCTTGTGCACTCCTAGTTTCAGTCCACTTTGCATTTGGTGTTATGTAAGGCATTAACGCATCACTCGTTATTCTAGAGTCTGAGAAGACACCGGTTGGTCATGTTGTTGAACATGCAAGTCGCTGGTGAAATCTTCCATCCAATCATTACAATTATTATACTTGGTCTCTCTTGCTCTCGCTGTCTATTTTCTCTCTCTCTCCATCTCTCTCCCCATATGAGTTCCTATCAGTTGCAGTGAACACCTTGAGTGGAGAGCGCTTGCTCGAGCGTTGAACCCGGGTTCTGAATCCACCATACCCAGTTCGCAAGGCTGGGCGGGGTTGTGAGCAGGCTTTCATTTCATCTTTTCTTATTATTTCTTATTATTTCTGCTTTTTATCTCATTACAAATATTCTGCGCATTTTTTCTCCATCTGCGCTTAAAATCTAGACTGACAACCTGCTTGTTAAATCATGCACCTGCTTTCAGGCGTAAAAACCCTGCTGTAGAGGTCTCAGTCCTCATTTGTTAGACTTACCTGTCTTTATAAATGTAACTTACTCTCTCTCTCTCTCTCTTTCTCTCTCTCTCTCTCTCTCTCTCTCTCTCTCTCTCTCTCTCTCTCTCTCTCTCTCTCTCTCTCTCTCTCTCTCTCTCTCTCTCTCTCTCTCTCTCTCTCTCTCTCTGTCTGTCTGTCTGTCTGTCTGTCTGTCTGTCTGTCTGTCTCTCTCTCTCTCTCTCTCTCTCTCTCTCTCTCTCTCTCTCTCCCCCCCCCCCATCTCCCCTCTCTCTCTCTCTCTCTTTCTCTCTCTCACTCTCTCTCTCACTCTCTCTCTCTCCGAGTCTCTCTCTCTCTCTCTCCGAGTCTCTCTCTGTCTCTCTCTGTCTCTCTCTCTCTCTCTCTCTCTCTCTCTCTCTGTTTGTGTGAGTCTCTCTTTGTCTGTTTCTCCTCTTCTCCCATGTGAGGAGGAGGAGGCGGCATAGAACTCTATAGCCATGTATACCCTGATTCTCAGCAATTGCTCTGGTATGTTTTCGGGCATAATTCTCCTGTCCTGTCACAATTGTCAATGTTGCCTTCTGTTCTTCCAATGATCTTCAGGCAACTCAAAGCACTTCAATATCTCTGACGGGGATGAAGTTCCAAGACCTTTTGGGCAACAGTCCAGCTGCGGCCACAGTGGATGAGCGCACAGAGACCCTTCACGAGTTCATCCAAGGTCGACTTGACACCCTGGAGGAACGTCTGACCGAAGAGAACAGAATGAGACTGGCACGTGGCCAGCTTCCATACAGGCACATGCTGCCCAGTCAGTTGACCGGCAGTATCTCCGTTTAGACCTGTTTCTTGCCAGTTGAAGCAAGTAAGCACTCGCCATTCGTACATGGCTGCTAATGCCACACAATCAGAATCTACTGACTCTGCCTTCAATGCCATTCATGGTACATGTATATGTGGTAAATGTGGTGTACCTGATGCCCGTAGTCCTAATCCCAAGGATCACAGTGACTTAGGATGTACGAGCTTTTCTCCAGTCCACCTCTCTCTCTCTCTCTCTCTCTCTCTCTCTCTCTCTCTCTCTCTCTCTCTCTCTCTCTCTCTCTCTCTCTCTCTCTCTCTCTCTCTCCCTTCCTTCTCTCCCTTCCTTCTCTCCTTTGTTTCTTCTCTGTCTCTGTCTCACTCTTTCTTCAGCCTTGTGTTTGTCACTCCAATCCGTTTTAGATGTTTTACCTTAACTTTTTTCTTCAGACCTTTCCCGTTTGGGTCTTTCCCTCAAACCAGTGAATAAGGTGACTCTTTTTGCATTTACTGATTTAGATCTACCTGTACATGTACTATAACTTATAGTATAAGCACACACAGTAAACACTTTAGCTGTCTACAATTGAGTAAACATGCATACCTTTAGCTGTACCTGTGAATATTCAGGATGATATTTCCCGCAGCTATAACATGTCATCCTGCCTACTTGTATGCTTCAATCATCAGCATTCTTTTTAGCATCGGAAGTTCTTCTAGGCATTCCTCTAGTATTGACCTTAATGCACTGTAAGAAAATGTGACAGAAAGATAACTTCTAATAACGGTGCATTTCAGTTCAGCAGGTGGCTGTACAATGCGTGGATTGTACTCCTCCGTGTGGGGCTAGGCTGTTGGTTTCCACCGCGAAAAATACTGTAAAGTGACGTATGCCTGTACCGTCGTGCACGGAACGGTATTTTCATGGACTACTCCCTCCCTTTACACAGGTTCAGGGAAGATGCGAGCTGTGTTTATTGTATTTTATTTATTTTTTAGTTAAATAATCATGTAGTACCAAGAGTACAATACTGTAGCGAGAGTTCCCAGATTGCCTGGAGTGCTCAACACCACAAGGATGGAGAAATTCCACAAAGGCAGAAGAGAACAGAGAAGTCTCAATGTGTACGATGGAGACGGTTGGCAGTTTTGGAGCTCCTGCTCCGGCCTCCTTTTCTTTTAGGATTGAGAAGGACTGGTCTGCAGACCACTTGTTTTACGCCAAGGCGCTCAAGCAGAGTAAGGTAGATTATGTCAGGTCTGCCAGGTGGACCTTCAGGGCAAGCCTGGTCATTGCGTTGTTACAGTGAAGAGTTCTGCTGAGCGGGAAAAGATACTGGACGCAGGAATCCGGATTTCCGGTAAGCAGGTGCTCTGCGAGATTTCCGGGGTGGACTTAACCCATCTGCATGTGTTTGGGTGACCTGTCGGGCTTCAAAACAGTAAATTGTGTGCTGCGCTGGGCCAGTTCGGCCGAATTGTTGGGTCGCCTCAACAGAAAAAAGTATTGTTTGAGGGATTGGAAATAAGTACTGGCACCCGTGTTCTCAGCCTGGTCCTCCGATCACCAGTTCCATCTACGGTTACCGTAGGTCAGTTGAAACTGCGAGTATGGCACCGCGGCCAACAGCAAACATGTTGCCGGCGCTGCAACAACAGTGGCCACGAGGCTAAAGCATGTCCCAGCCGTGGTGCACAGTCTACAGCTAGCTTCCCGGCTTCCACAAGCACAGCACCGCAACACAACCGGTACGAGTACAAACCCTCCCAGCGTCAGTACAGCCACTGATACGGGTACGGTGACTACCCAGCCCGCAGAAGCCGCTGTAGAGCCAGCTGTCGTCAGTGTGGAGACAGGTGCAGCTAGCAACACAGGGCTGAACACTGCCTCAGTCAACAGCTATCGCCAGGCACTTTTAGCCAATGGGACCAGCACTGGCACAACTGATACCAGTAACCATGTGCCGGCTTTCAGCCAACCTGGAGACAAAGAAAAGAGCAGCGGGACAGCCCCCTCTCCTGATGACGATGGCTTCAGACTGGCAGCAGGCAAACACACCTTCTCCGCCACTGTCCTCTCAGGGCGCACTGAGCCACCTGCCTCTGCCTTGAACGACCCGCAAATTGCGTGGGCTAAGGAGTGTTCAAACCGTGAGCGCAAGAAGCTGGCAGAGAGAGTTGAAGCTGCCCGCAGAGGAAGCCACTAGTGCAATGAAGGTAATTACGGTTAATACTTACTGCACTTGCTCTTAATCCCCATGCTGATCCCTTCTTCCCTAGTAATGATAGATCATCAGAACACAATTTCTTTAGCTGTATCTTTTTTAAATGTTAATGGCGTCTCTTAATCCCTTAGCACCCAGCTTTCCCCCCTCCAAGTTAACTACTAGTAGTGTACACAATCAACATCTCTCCCCTGGGGCTGGCGCTGGCATCCCAGGTCCCAGTGCTTATGGCTCTTGTACCCAGAATAACCTCAGTTCTGCCCCTGCTCACCGCCTTACCCCACTGACACAGTCCTTCATAAGACTGGGCTTTTTGAATGTTTGTAGTCTTCGAAACAAAGTAGCTGAGGTCGCCGATATCCTACAGCAATACAACTTCGACATATTTGGCGTCGCAGAAACCTGGCTTGACAGCACAACGTCAGACAGTGATATTGATATACCAGGTTACTGTGTGATACGGCACGATCGTCCAGTGCGCAGAGGTGGCGGTGTATGCTTTTATTTCCGTTCCGGACTCCAGGTAAAACCGCGCCCAGAGCTTTCCGACGCTAACATTGAATCGTCCTGGATCGAAGTCAAAGGGCGACGAAGGCGACAACTAGTTGGGTGCTTTTACCGGCCACCTGACGAGCCCATCTTGTACTGGCAGAATTTTGAAGAGCAGCTGCACAGGGCTTTCGTGGACAACCCAAGCATCACAGTCATTGGCGATTTTAACGTTAATGTTTCAACCCCCTACCCACCTTGTCCTATCGCCAGGAAATTTCTCGAACTTTGCAACTGCTATGGCCTCACTAATCACGTTCATGCTCCGACTCGTATCTCACTGGCGTGCCCATCAGGTACAACTATCGATCTCATTCTTTCAGCTAGTCAAGACATCAGTGAGTGCCACGTCCTGCCTTTGACCATTAGCGACCACTTTGGGATTGAGGCTAACCTGCACCTTCAGGTTTCTCGCAGCGTGTCACCTCAGGCAGTAGAGCGGGTCCGAGCTCAGAGAAATACTCGGTCGGTGAACCTCTGTGAATTCCGTCGGGATGTCAGCTCCGCAGGGCTGGATGATTTTACTAACACGCGGGATGTGGACAGTAGTTAGTGCGGGGCAGGTTCTGGCTCACTTTTTGACCTTTGACCTTTGGGCCAAATAAGGCACACTGTGTCGGTCGTGCTTGGTCTGGCCCCAGGACTTCCCCAGGGTTTGACCTTTGACCTTTGGGTTAAATAAGGCACACTGCGTCGGGCGCGCTTGGTCTGGCCCCGGGACTCCCCAGAGTTTGACCTTTGACCCCTGGCATGCCATAAATGTGCCATAAAGGTTCTTTTCCGTGGCGAACGTGCACTTGTGCACGTTCGGTGCATTCGCACCGGGGAGTAGTAAAATACGTACTATTCCCTGATTCGCACATCGTAGATGTGCATTGCATGCAGTGACATATTGCGCATGCGCGCATACGCACGCGGAGCGTGCGACCTTCAGTGGTCCTATGCGTGTGGAAAAGACGCAGTGCAACACAAGGTGTACTAGTACACTTGTCATTATACTACTCCCTGATTCGCACTTCGTAGATGTGCAGCAACAAGTTCACGTTCCTTGCATTCGTTTTATTCGCACATCGTAGATGTGCACTGATTGACAAGTTGCCCATACAGAGCATGCCTAATCGGCTTTTCGATCGGTTAAGATAATGTTCAAATTCGGCCATATTATGAGCCCCAAGATCAGAATTCGGCTCAACGTAGTACTTGAAGTCACCGTTCCCATTACGTGATGTACATTTACACACAAGCACACTCTGTTGAAGCACTGAAACATCGATTTTCGGCGAATTCAACATGCGAAATTTGAAAATTCGGCAAAAAGATGGGTGATTTCTTCAAAACCACTTTTTTCGGCGAATTTGTCGGCCAGCCGACTTGGGAAATGCCTACTGTCCATGCAGGTGCATTAGATGCATATTTCTATTTTGATCGGGATACAGTTAGAATCAACCGGCTACGCCCGGAGTATCATGCATCAAAACAATTATTGAAGGGGTGTCACAGTGAAGCAGTGTTGCTACGCACCACAAATCCCCTCTGCACTGCATCGAATCTATACTGGAGAATCCAGAGTGACCAGCAAAGAGTCACAACCCGCGGGTATCCAGTCACACTAAGGCATATCCACCATTCCCCACATATTCACTGTAAAAAAACACAATACTGTTTACTATAATACACTTTTATTTAAATGGACTTGGATGAGTCTGTAGAAGAGAACACAATGCACGCACACGCACGCATGCGCGGACACACACACACACACACGCGCGCGCACACACATCTAGGTTATAGTGCTATACACGTATCTAGGGTTTAGGAAGCACGAGAATATGTCGAAGCACCCACACATATCCCTTCATGCAGTGTACTTCAGTAGCCCAACACATTACGACCGCTATAGCACAGGACCATCACAAAACACATTACGACTGCTATAGCACAGGACCATCACAAAACACATTACGACCGCTCAGGACCATCACAAAACACTACACACTGTTACTACACTGCACACACAGTTACTACACTACGCCTGTTACAAGTACTTACAAATAATTTTGAAACAAATGGCACATCCTGAAGACGGCAGCCTAGCCCCAGACCTTCATACATCATCATCTGTGAAACCAAACATGAGCGCACACAAACACTATTAGTGTCACGAATACGAAAGCAGGGTAAGACAAGAGGATACGAAACAAGTAAGTATCGCTATAACGAGGGGGTAAGTATACATCTAAACAGAGCAGTGCTTACTTACAGGGTCCTAATACGCTCTACGGCGTCCTGGTAGTCGGACTGCAACAGCAGTCCGACTTGCCGACCCTCCCAGTAACGGGTTAGATGGGCCGCACCCGCCAGGTGGGCGACCACGGCTGGGCCTCCCGCCAGCCTTTCTCCACTGTAAACACGAAAGAAACCGCAGAAGGCACAGTGTCATAGAGCTCTTTTGTTGGGGGAGAGAGCTAGGAGCACTGCACACTTACCAAGTATCACAATATATGATAAGAAAGAGGCGGCGCTTGACGCACCGCCTCAGGTGCTGAAACAGGGGTATTACCCCTGTAAGGCGAACACCGCAGTGACACGTGAACGTCATTTCTACAGACTGTTTTCAGGATAATGATACTGAAGTGAAGGTGTGAACCGCAAAGCAAGACCTTTACCTTCTTCCTGTCGAATTCGCTCCCCAGCTGCATACCGACATCATCCGCTAAAACCCAATCATACCAAGTAACGCAAAGGTCATCAGTTGACCTTTTGGACTTTTCAACTCTTATCCAAAACCACCAAGAGGAAAAAACCAGGATGAAGAAGATGTCAGTTGTAGAAGCGTTTGTGGAGGAGTTGTTACATTATTCTCAGTAAATAGATATGGCTGATACATTCGGTGTAGACTTGGACGACCGGTCGTGGTCTCTCACCACGGGTCCTTTACTAATAGAAAGGCGAACGCCAATAAGAACTGTTGTGGAGTTGGCAGATCAAAACGCGCAGCAAGAAATTTGGCACGTCGATGGTAGACTCC